ATGTTCATACGGTCACATCAGTTACATTTGTATCTTCTCTTCTTTAGCCTTCTTTGCTGTCTCCTGTTTGTTTTCCCGCTGGTAATTATTCCCGGGCCACAGGGCTCTCAGTTCTCTGATCCTTTTCCTTCTCTCTTCTGTACTTGCTCCCTAGGTGAACTAATTCAATTTAGTGTTCAAATACCTCCACTTGGTTGTAAAATAGGTAGTTCAGATGTACTGTACCTGAAACAGGACTCTTGACTTTATCAGGAAAACAGCTCCTTCCTGTGTTTTCCCCCTTTGTAGATGACTTCACTGTTCACATAGGGTTTAGGCCCCAAACCAAGAAGCACCCGCGATTCTTCTGTTTGCTTCACATCACTCATTCAGTCCATCAGCAGTTCTTGCCATAAAATGTGTTCGGGATCTGACTGCTTCTTCTGCTACTGCCATCATCTTGGTCATCACTGCGATCATCTCTTACCCGGTGTACTGCAGTAGCTTCTTCACTGATATCCTTGTTTCTTCTCTTGCCCTTTAATAGTTCATTTTCCATGCAGTTTTTGAAAAATAAGTCATATTTTGTTGATTTCTTACACAAAATCTTCCAAGAGCATCCCACAAAACTCATTCCCATGACTTACAAGTTCTTCTCTGACTTCACTTCCTACTATCTTCCTTCTCACCCGTTCCCCTTGAGCTGTGCAATTCTTTGTATGTTTTTCCAAATACCCTAGCTTCTTCCCCCCTCAGTGCCTTAGCAAATTTGAAGACATTTTCTATTTTATCTTCTTGGAGCATTCTTCCTTCAGGTACGTATTTGTTATTCATAGATCTATATCATTAAAATCAGAAGTGTTTCGGAAGTTGTATATTTTAAAATATAACAGCTCACAAAAATTTGATGTGGTTATGGATGTATACCTCTGTGTTTAGAACCCAAAGATTAAAAAAAAAAAAACAGGATTTTGAGGCCTGCTGAGTTACAGAAAATGCTCATTTGTGTAAAAGGTTGATGTAAATCTTTTGTGAATGAACTCTGAGTAAGTATTTCCATTCATTTTTAGGAAAAAGTCCTGGGTGGAATTTGACATCGTCCTTGAAAGTTATTTCATATGTTCATATGTCCCCAAAGATCTGTACAGGATTGCCACTTCGCCTTAACCCAGGGTTATGTGAAAAAGACATTCTTGCCTTGTTGCAAAATAACTGATTTTTGGAAATGGGATACGCATAGGCAAATGTTAGAAAATATTCTATAAATATGTGATGTGTGATTGGGGGAATATTCAACTATAATAACTGTATGTATTATTGAAGGAAAGATTCAGCTACTTGGTATTAATTGGCAGTTACTTTTACCGGCACTTAGAGATTTTAGTCATTGTTGGCTATCTTGAAGTAAAATTGATTTCTGTTTCTATAAAAGTAGCTGACGCCTATAAAATGCTTAATGGGCTGCAAATGTTTATACACATCACTTCATTTAATGCTTAGAACAACCCTGTGTGGGGTAGGCAGTATTACACCTGCGTTACAGATGAGGAAGTGGAGGCTTGGTCATAGGACGTGCCCTGCATCACATAACCAGTAGAGGGCGTGGCTTGAATTCAGACTCAGTTCTTCTGATCTGGAAACCTAAGCCTTCCACAGCAGAATGTGGGTGATCTAAAGTTTAACAAACCAGGTGAGAACAGGTCCAGGTCGCAGTGGCCTCTGTCTCTTAAGCGTCTGTGAAGGACTCACTATGTCCCTAGTTGACCAGAGTGAGTGATTGACTAGAGCTGAGTGTAGCCTGTAATGCTGAGTAGTCAGTATCTCAGGAACCTGACTGCAGGAGAGTCTGCTTAATATGATCGTCAGATTTTCATTGTTTCCTGGGGAAGTAATATGAATTGTTAATGGCAGGAAATTCTAACGTATTTTGTATATTTAGGTTTATGTAAAAAGATTCAGTGAGTACTTTGTTAACTTTATAGGTGTGAGTGCAAAGCAATTTCAGCACATTGACATTCTTCTCAACCTAATGAGAATGGGCATTTGGCTTATATCCAATAAGAAAACTGCCTTTCAAAGGACAGACTTCTAAAAACATCAGAATTCATGGATTACAATTTACTACAAATAAAAAAATTAAATATTAACATTAAACTAAGAAAACTCACCAGTCTAGAAATTATTAAAAACTGGTTTTTTTTTGTACGCTAACCAATGGGAATTTTAAATTTTGATTTGTATTGTGAATGATTCTTGCAAGTTCTTTCCAACAGCCATTTTCTTAAGAAATGACAGTAAAGGTAGCAAAAAACAAGTGTTTTTTTTCCTGTTAAATAGGGAAATAGAAAATATTTCATCGTTTTGGAAACTCATGTAAAAGCTTAATTTAAAAACCTTTTTTGTAGGAAAAAAGTTGATTATGTTCTTGTAGATAGATAATTTATGACAAATAGAGTTGAATGCCACCTTGTGAAAGATACGCATAAGTGCTGTAAAAGATATTAAAAAGTAGAAGAAAAATCCATGGCACACACACACACACACACACACACACGCTTGTGTTGGACATCTAGGTGACAGTATAAGAAATTATGTGGTAAGTACCAAATGGTAGATATAGACAATATGTTCTGGAGATATTTCTCAGTAGTTATCAGAATTGCCTTCCTGAGGAAGGTATGATTTGAACTTAGACAAGCAGTATAGAGTTAGAAGAATATTCTTGGCAAAAAGGCTATGAGCAAGGACCTATCAATGGCAAAAACTCAAAAGCTATTTTTCCATAGTAGAAATGAAGGATTGGGCTGCAAATAAAGGTGAGGACTGAGATTATGGGGGGCCTTGGAGGATAATTTAAGGAATTTAACATTCAGAGTTCTTAATTTTCTTAATTTTTTTTACATTTAAAATGCTGGGTAAACAAAACATGTCTAAAATCTGGTTTTGCTGTGAGTATGTGCTGTTGCCTGTGATGATATATTTTTGTTTCTGCTTTGGCTCATTTTCTTATTGATGCCTGTGTAGTCTGTGAGTTA